AAATAATAAATAAGACAATAAAGCAACAATAAAAGGAACACCAGAATTTACGAGGTTCGGCTAATTTTGCCTACTCCTCGGACACAACCAATATTTTATTCCACTCCAAAAATACAAGTGAAATAATACTAAAGAGAGAAGATACAAATGCCTTAAGAAGATAAGAAGGCAAATAAGAGGTGTGTTTAAATCCTAAACATTAGGCCTCCTTTTATAGGGAAAAAATCTCAACTAATTTGGTCTTCCACCGATGTGGGAGTTTTGGCATTCAACAGCGTCCAATCGAAGAATTGTTTGTTTCGATGCAACCAAGTGAACCAAGCAAGAGCTTCACCATCAAGGTAGAAGTAAGGAAGAGGTAGACAATCCTTCTCGAAGAAGCCAATGTAGGTGAAGTACTGTTCCGCCCGATAAATCCAACTCTCGAGGTTGTCATTGCCATTGAAGCGATCTAGTAATGTCATTGGAGTCCTCTAGATGAAAGCACCAATGTTATGAACCCGAATTCACAGCACAAAATAAATGAGGAAAATGATGGATTTAATTCATAAACTCAAAGATTCAATCATTACAATAACAATAACAATAACTAGAACTAAGAAGGAGATCCAGAGAAGAAGGATAAAGAGAGCCCAGGGAGACCAGAAAGAGATGGTCCAGAGGAAGAAGCAAGAAGAACAGAGACGAAGGGGAAGAGTTCTCAACAATATGCATAATTCCTAGAATCACCGACTTCTCCTCTTTTAATAGAATAGTTCTTGGGCTCACTACTCAACCCGGATCCCAAATTAGTCTGACCATATTCTTTGTTCCCGGCCCAATAGCTCTTTTCAGCCTAATAACTATGTGTATGTTGATATCCTTATTGGGTTGTGTTTGATTCATAACAGTATGCACAAGGATGACACTCATAAATCGAGAAATGGTCCAAATTTTTACACACAAAAAAAAAAAAAAGAGGAAATATCGTGTGAAATACCAATTGAATAACAAACTGCGCAGAGAATTGAAAACTCTCTAATTCATGAGAATCGCATGTTACAAGTTATAACAGATAAAGTGGCTGAAAAGATAGGTATAAATACATGTCACTCATTTGCACATAATTCTACACACACACATTTAAATTACATTTCTTCAATTGTAGTCCATAAACCAATAGATATGGCTCGGTTTCTTGCTTTAGCCCTAGTAGTTATAGCTCTCTCAAACGACGCGTTGGGTGCTCCTCCCTCGTGTCAAACTGTTACAACGCAGCTGGCTCCTTGTCTATCGTACATTCAAAATCGTGTTAAGGGCGGTGGCAATCCATCAGTACCTTGTTGTACCGGTATAAATAACATATATGAACTCGCTAAAACCAAAGAAGATCGAGTCGCTATCTGCAACTGCTTAAAAAACGCATTTATTCATGCTGGAAATGTCAATCCCACTCTCGTAGCTGAACTCCCCAAGAAATGTGGCATTTCTTTTAATATGCCTCCTATTGATAAAAACTACGACTGTAACACGTAATTAGTTTATACCTTTAAACTTTAATTTTCAACCGATTTTGTGTCGTCTGCTTAATCTAACTTATTGTTTTTATTACATACAGGATTTCTATGTACTGATGAAGGGGTACGTAGCTAGTGATCTCGGAAGCTGCTCAAACACTGAAAACTTTATGAATAAAACATATATAGATGTTGATGTCTTGTCTGAAATCTGAAAGCAATTAGATCCACTGCAAACTTCAACTGTATGCAGATGGTTAAATGTTGAATTATATATATGATATATATAAATTTGGTTAATGCCTATGTTTTTGGTAGTCTTAGACCTGAGTTCACAGAAGGAGACTAATATCAAATTACAGGTGTTGACTTTTGCATATATCAGTGGACGGTTCATATGAGCTTTAATTAATTAAAGTCTGAAAACAAAAATTATCCTTATATGGAAAATATTGGAAGTTCTTTAACAAAAATTAAAGCACTAGAAAATAACTTTCATGAAAAATATTTTCCGAAAAAATAATTTCGCTCTTACCAAACACATCTCATGAATGTCGACTTATGAGACTGTATTATCATAAAAAAGCATATGGATATTTAGGTTAAGGACGACAAAATGTGTTAATAAATCATCTTTTAGCATCATGATATTGATAGTGTCCATCTCATTAATGGTTTGGTAGCCAACCTTGTTCAATTGGTATTGGTTTGGTAGTGCCACTACTAGAATTTCGGAAAAAAACGACCAAACTTTAGCGACCAAAGTTGGTTTATCAAGAAAAGCGACCAAAGTTGGTCGCTAAATTGGCGAAAATAATAAAATGATTATTTGATATACATTAGCGACCAAGATCNTATATTCGATATAATATTAGCTAATGCACTGATACTTAGTGCATAGTGTAGTGTAAGTATATATATATATATATATTCCTGAATTAAAATCCTAAATTTATACTATATATATATACTATACTACATATGTACATAATTTTAAATTGATTAAAAGTAATTTAATTTTTTTTAGAAATAGCGACCAACGTTGGTCGCTATTCTGGTCAAACGGTTAGTTGGTCGCTATTTTAGTCAAAACTTATTTTGCTACCAAAATAGCGACCAAAGTTGGTCGCTACTTCTAAAAACAGTGTCAAAATGGGTTTCTCCTCCCATTCTCTTATTTTCTTCAAAAAAAATTCCCAAACTCTCTCTTTTCTCTCTCACACTCAAACCCCCTACCCCTCCTCCGACTCCTAGCAGCAGTGGCGCCACCAACGCCCACCGACGGCAGCAGCTCCACCGCCGGCGTCCTCCACTGCCCATGTATGTTTCTCTCTCCTTTCTTTGTTTTTTTTCGAAATACACTAATTTTGTTTAATTTCTCCTAGTTTGATTTGTAAAAATTAATTGTTCTTAGCTAAATTAAATCTATGATAATTGTTAGTAGCTAAAATATTTAGTTTTACCTACTAATTTGGGGAAGAAATCCTAAACCCTACTAATTCCTATTAAATTTGTTATGTGTTGTCTTGAATAGTTTAGTTAGAATCTAGGGTTTATGATTTGTTCTTGTGAATCGAACTTTTAGGGTATGGGTTGAATCTTTGTTATTGCTAGTTTTTGTCTCAATTATACTTTGTATTGTCTTGATAGTTTAGTTAGAATCTAGGGTTTATGATATGAATTGAACCTTTAGGATATGAATTAGACTTTTAGTTTATGAATTGAACTTTTAATTTATAAATTAGTATTTTAGGATATGAATTGGACTTTTAGTTTATGAATTGGACTTGAAGTTTATAAATTATAATTTTAGGATATGATTTGAACTTTTAATGTATGAATTTGAACTTTTTGGATATGAATTGGACTTTTAGTTTATAAATTGAAATTTTAGGATATGAATTGAACTTTTAATTTATAAATTGAATATTTTAGGATATGAATTGGAATTTTAGTTTATGAATTGAACTTTTTGGATATGAATTGAAATTTTAGTGTATGAATTGAATTTTTTGGATATGAGTTGAACTTTTAGTTTATGAATCGAACTTTTAGTTTAATGTATGAATTTGAACTTTATGAATTGGACTTTTAGTTTATAAATTGAAGTTATAGGATATGAATTGAACTTTTAGAATATGAATTGAACTTTTTGTTTATAAATTGAGTATTTAGGATATGAATTGGACTTTTAGTTTATGAATTGAACTTTTTGGATATGAATTGAAATTTTAGTGTATGAATTGAATTTTTTGGATATGAGTTGAACTTTTAGTTTATGAATCGAACTTTTAGTTTATAAATTGAACTTTTAGTTTGTAAATTAAAAATTTAGGATATGCATTGAAATTTTAGGATATGAAATTAATTAACTAAAAAAAAGATTAGGATATGAGTTAACTAAATTAATTTGTTCTTGTTTTATTTGTATAGATGGAACATCGTACTTGGATGTACAAAAGGAATTATCCTAATCGGCGGGGATTGCAGGAGGATTTTGTAGAAGGGATTGATGGCTTTATTAGACATGCAATGTCACTTCCGCCATACCAAAATGAAGGAGTAATTAGGTGCCCTTGTGTTAGGTGCGACTGTATGATGTTTGGAAAACCGGAGGAAGTTAAGCTTCATCTTTATAGTAAGGGGTTTATAGCGAATTACTTTGTATAGACTAATCATGGAGAGATCGACGGTAGCCATGAGATATTTCATAACATGGTTGTGGGTAAAAGTAGTAGGTTGGTGGAGAATACAAATCGTGATTCCAGAATTCATGATATGGTTACGGATGCTTTTGGAATGTACTTAGAGGGTGAGCCCAATGAAAATGTTGAACAAACTCCTAATGATGACGCAAAACGTTTTTATGAACGGTTAGAGGAAGCTAGTCGTCCACTACGTAAAGGAAGTCCGCACTCTGAGTTGTCTGTTGCAATTAGATTACTAAGTATCAAATCTGATTGGAATATTTCTCAAGGAGTCATGGACTCTTTCATTGACCTTATGCATGAACTAGTTGACCCATCGAATTACCTGGTGATTTCTATAAGGCAAAGAGATTAGTTTCTAAGTTAGGACTTTCGTCAATAAGAATTGATTGTTGTGAAGATGGTTGCATGTTATATTATAAAGATGATGCAAATTTAAGCAGTTGTAAATTTTGGGAAAAGCCTCGTTTCAAGAGGCTTTCCAGTGGGAAGATGGTCGCTATCAAGGCGATGCATTATTTACCTCTTATACCTAGGCTAAAGAGGTTATATGTGTCGATGAGTTCTGCTCCTCACATGAGATGACACTTTGAAAATAGAAGACCACCTGGTGTTATGTGTCACCCTTCAGATTGAGAAGCTTGGAAGCACTTTGATAGGACATATTCAGATTTTGCTAGTAAACCAAGGAACATTCGGTTAGGTCTGTGTGCGGATGGATTCACGCCTTTTTCTGTATCTGCGACACCATATTCATGTTGTCTTGTCTTTCTTACACCTTATAATCTACCACCCGAGTTGTGCATGACTAGTTCATATATATTCTTAAATTATATTATCCCCGGTCCACGTAATCCGAAAAGTTTGATAGATGTATATTTGCAACCTTTGATTGATGAGCTGAAACAATTGTGGTACGATGGTGTTGAAACATATGACATATCAACCAAGAAGAATTTCTATTTGCGTGCTAATTTAATGTGGACAATTAACGATTTTCCTGCGTATGGAATGTTGTCTGGGTGGATGACTGCTGGGAAGCTAGCTTGTCCTTACTGCATGGAAAATAGTAAATCGTTCACTTTGAAACATAGCCGAAAGCAATCATGGTTTGATTGCCATCATCAATTCTTGCCTCGTGATCATGAGTTTAGAAGGATGAAAAATGCATTCAAAAAGAATAAAATAGAATATGATTCTCCATCTCCGATACTTTCAGGTGAGGAAATTTGGGAGAGGGTCCACAACTTCAGTAAAGTTACTGAAGCTCCACCTTATAGATTCCCCGGATACGGTGTTACTCATAATTGGACGAAACAAAATATATTTTGGGAGTTGCCTTATTGGAAGGATAATCTTCTCCATCATAACCTTGATGTCATGCATATTGAGAAGAATTATTTTGACAATTTTTTCAAGACAATAATGGATGCTAAAGGTAAGACAAAGGATAACCCGAAGGCTAGAATGGACTTACAAGAATATTGCAGGCGGCCTAAATTATACTTGCAGACAGAAAACAATGGTAAGATATTCAAGCCCACAAGTTACACATTCACTTTGGAGGAAAGACGGCAAATTTGTGATTGGGTAACGAAATTGAAGATGCCTGAGGGTTATGCGTCGAATTTTGGGAAAAAAGTTGATATGGAGGTAGGGAAGTTGAGCCATTTGAAAAGTCATGACTATCATGTTTTCATAGAGACCTTAGTTGCTATTGCATTTTGTTGTTTGCCTGAAAGAATCCGGAAACCCATCACAGAGATTAGTTTATTTTTCAAAGACTTGTGTTCTTCCACATTAAGGGAAGAAAACCTACTCCGAATGGATCAGAACATTCGTGTAACTTCTAGTAAGATGGAAAAGATATTTCCATGTGGGTTTTTGATGTGATGGAACACCTTCCAATCCACCTTGTACACGAGGCATGACTTAGAGGGCATGTTCAATGCAGATGGATGTATCCCTTTAAGAGGTAATATTATAAGTTTGATCACTAGCTTTCTGTTTTATTTGAATGTTCTTGGCTAACCTGAAATTATGTAGGACAATTGGCAAATGCAAACAATTTGTTAAGCAGAGGAATATGATTGAAGGATCTATATGCGAAGCTTATCTTGCAAAGGAAAATGCTCATTTTTGTTCTTATTATTTTGAGAGCAATGTGTCATGCACTAGGAATAGGCCCAACAGGCACATTGTCGACCTTATGAATGATCCATTATATCCGCCTATGTCCATATTCAATCAACCAGGCCGATGTTCTAAGGATGTTAGAAAGAGAAGTTTGAGTGATATGGAGTACAAGTCAGCTACACTTCATGTGTTGCTAAATTATCTCGAAGTTGTACCATTTCTCAAGTAAGTATTGATTTTGTAGTTATCAAAATATAAAATGTACTGTGATTACATCTCAATGCAAGTACTAAAAATATTTGATGTGTCACAGTCACTTCGTGGGTCAATTTGGCTGTGATGATGTATATACGGCATTTGATACGTGGTTCAAACAATTTGTAAGTTTATCCTTAAATTATTCTAACACTATGTAGG